CTCTACAGCTTCATCAAGGTTGCCATGACGATCAAGCCAGGCTTTCCGGGCTTCCTGACAGGAAAAGGCACCCAGCCCTGGATCCTGCTGACCAGCTAGCTCAGCCACCATCTCCAGGACATAGGACAGCTCTGAACGCAGCCACTGCAGGGGCACCTCAGTGCCCGAGTACTGTAAAGCTGAGAAGATCTCTTCTGGGCTGGCACCTGCAGCTTCCCCTTCCTAAAGAACAGTCATACCCAGACACCAGCAGAGGAACACCAGGAAGGAAACTCTACCCACCCTTAGCCTGGTCAATAGTGATTATGTGACCAGTGCACAGAATGGTAACTGCCCTTTGCTAAGTATTCAAAGTAAGGCAGCTACAGCTAACAGTAACAAGTCTTATAAGAATGCTAGCCGGGCATGATGGTGCACACCTTTAATCTCAGCACCTGGGAGGCAGAGGTAGGCGGATCTCTGTGAGTTCAAGGCTAGCCTGGTCTACAGGACAGCCAGGGCTGTTACACAGAGAAACCTTATCTTAAAAAAACAAAACAAAACCACAACAACAAAAGAATACTAATTGACAAACTGACATTCTCTTTCCCCCAAAGCTCAGTCCCATCTCATCCCAGGCCCAATCCTCACCCTTACCTGGATCATGCTCACTAGCTGGAGACTTTCCTTCCGCATCTTATCTTGTCGCTGTTTCTCTGGGTCTCCGCAGGAACCAGGCAGGGAAGCACTAAGGTGTTGTGGGGACCCAGGCTTTGGGAGTTCCTTTTCCAAAGAGCTGGCATAGGGTCGAACGGCATGCTGTCCTGAGATGGGGTTGCGGGTTCGGTTGCAAATAGCACATACCCAGACAGGGCCCGAGTTGCAAAAGGTACAGTGATCACAGTACCACACTTCAGACTGGGCAGATGAGAGCAAAATATCCCCCTGATGGAAAGGTAGAGAGAATTATCCTCTTGACTGTGTGACTAGTGACTACAGTTCATGGAGAAACCAAAGACAAGCGGTATGATACAGAGAATGGCCTGAGGGCAACGGATGCAAACAAAGAGCTGGGCCAGCCGGCCAGAACCGGTTACCTTGAGGGACTGGTGGCAAACACCAGCGTCGTGGGAATCCACCACCAAGCTGGGAGGCTGGGCCAGGCGAGGTCGCTCACATATGGCACACAGCACAGCCGCTGCCTCATTCTCAAAGGTACAGCTCTGGCAGGCCCACTGATCCCGTGCAGGCTCAGGTTCGAGGCCCCCAGTTGCTTGGGAACCCTCTGTTCTCAGCACCTTACAGCCTCTGGGCTGACTGCAGGCTGCACAAAGCACTGCCCAAGGCTCGTTTAGTGTGACGCAGGCAGCACAGTGCCAGGGCAGACAAGCATTTGCAGTTTCAGGGGAAGAAAGAGAGCTGTCCCCCAGAGCCAGGGACACTGAGTGGGGCGGTGGCTGGGACGAGGCAGGTGAACTGTAAGAGAAAAGCAGACAAGGCCAGCTGAGGTAGAAGTCAGTACCCGAGTCCCCTCACCCCTGTGAACCTCACACTGCCTAGGTTATGATATGTAGCTCTGGCCTCTGTGATTGCTGCTCTGTCTAGAATACTCTCGTACCTATAGATGATTCAATATTTAAATGATAGATTATATTTAACTTCTTCCAGGTAGTGGCGCTCTCGCTCGCGCTCTCTCTCTCTCTCTCTTAAAAAAAAGATTTAGTTAGTTACTTATTTACTTACTTATTATGTATACAGTGTTCTGCCTGTATGTCTGCCTGCAGACCAGAAGAGGGCACCAGATCTCATTACCGAGGATAGTTGTGAGCCACTATGCGGTTGATGGGAATTGAACTCAGGACCTCTGGAAGGGCAGCCAGTGCTCTTAACCGCTGGGCCATCTCTGCAGCCCCAGGTGGCATCTCTTAACATAGTTCCTTAATCTTATCATGCTAGATGTTTATAATACTGACTGAGGTGATCCTTCAGACGAGACTGCATCCATCTATTACCTATCTGTGTATCACAGCAATCTCTCTATCATGACTGTCATTTGCTTAGTGTTTATGTCTATAATTTCCTTGAGGGCTACACCGGCTGTTCTCTATGAAACAGCCTTGAGCAAAGAACCTGGCATATAGTAGACATTCAAGTAATCTTCAATTTTCTTAATTTCACTCTCACAGAGAAAAGAAAGCCTCTTACCTAGAGCTTAGGTTGATGGTTTGGTGGGCCCCAGGCAGGGTTTGGCGAAGATGATGAGCACGGGACGGATGTCCATGGAATAAAAGGTCACAAGCTGGGCATGAGGTTTGATTACAGGCTGGACAGTGCAGTGTGCCTGGGGCAGAACCACAGAGAAAGCAGGGACCAGGAGTGGAGCCTAAAAAAAAAAAGTAAAATCAAAAGGATAAAATTAAAAAAAAATCTATATTCACATACCAATAAATAAATTAGTATATATATATACACTATAGCCAAGACAGGAAGTCATACTATGTACCTATCAACAGATGAAAGAAGAAAACAGGTTACACTTAATAAGTAGCTTATATTAATACACACATACCAGAACATTAGTCACAAAGAACAAAATCTTGTTACTTACAGGAAAAAAAACACGAAACTGGAGTATATCATATTGAGCAAAACAAGTCAGACATAGAAAGACAAATATTATCTTTATCTACCCCCAGTCCCACCCCAAAATGTAGCTCTGGCTGGCCTGCAACTCACAACTGGCCTCAAACTCAGAGATCTGCCTGCCTCTGACTCCCAAGTACTAGTATCAAAGATGTGTTAGGAACTGGAGTTGGGAATGGTTGTGAATCACCATGTGGGTGCTGGGAATTGAATCTAGGTCCTTTGTAAGAGCAACAGGTACTCTTAACTATTGAGTCATCTCTCCAGCCCTCAGAGTAACTTTCTTAAAAAGACCAGGTTACGAAGCTGAAGAAATGGCTTAGCAGTTAACATCAAGTACTGCTCTTGCAAAGGAGCCAAGTCTGACTCCCAGCACTCATGTTGGGCAGCTCAGCACTGTCTGCAACTCCAGCTCTGGGGGGATCAGTTGCCTCTGACTTCCATGGGCACCTGCACATCCATGCACATATATATAATACACCACACTACACTGCCCTCCTACCCCTCAAATCTAAAAATCAAAATTAAAGGAGAAAAGACCAGGCTACACTTAAATCTGTTCTGGGCTAAGGCAAGTCACAAAACTGTTCTTTACAACATCTGGACCCATGCGGGGGGGGGGGGGGGGGGGGGGGGGGGGGGACGGGGGACGGGACGGGACGGGACGGGACGGACGGGGGGACGGGACTTTAATTTTTTTTGAAATAAAATACAAATACAAGAAGACAGAAGACCTAAATTTGCATCAATCTAATCTAATACTCTCATGGAGGACCAATCATACCTGGGGCAGAGGGGAGGGGGCCAGGAACAATCTCTCTCAAAAGGGGGTGAAACTCTGAAAGCTGCAGCATCTGAGGAAGAAAGCAGAGAATGGACAAGTGTTTGGGGCACAGAATCCCATAAATACAGTTCCCTTTATTTAACAGCACCCTTTCTGCTTTCCTTACATCATCTTCAACGTTGTCTTTTAGCAGCTGGTCCAGTGCCTTCTGTCCTGGGTGAGTATTCTGCAAACAAGATGAAAAGAATTCCCACCTTGAGCAAAGTTCACCTTGTAAGCCCTGATCCCCTAACATTCAGAGGGAGAAAGTGTAGCAGAAGCTTCCAGACTGCTGCAGCAACAGCATTTACCAGCATGGGGGTTTTCAAAGTGCCTTGAATTAGGTTGGGCTCCCAGTCTAGTACTTAAGGACCTTAGGATCAGAAGGCCATCTCACCTGCAACAGCAAGCTGAGCTCCGTGCGAAGGAGTAGTACTTCTAGTGTGACTATGGCAACCTGGTACTCATCCGGCTCCTCCTGCCCTTCAGGGAAACTCAATCCATCCGGGCGCTCCTCTGTATAGCCATACAACCGCAGCACATCCCGGCCCCCCTGCCACACATTCAGGACCCGGTCACCACCCAGCAGGCCTCCTGGGCAATAGAGCTGGTCGTCGTCCCCCCCCCCCCCCAGCACACCCTCAAGTCCCTTCTGGTCAACCCCCAGCCTAGGTCTAGTCCCCTTCTCCAATAGGGCCCAAGGGTTTCACCTGCACAGCATCCACCGTGCTGCGAAAGACAGGGTTATTAAACTTCACTGAGCGCCAGTACCGAGGGCGCTGTGGGCTGAGGAGGTTGCGACCATATTTTTCCAGGATGTTCAGGGCCGTGGACAGAGTGTTGAGGTAGTTTCGGGGCTAGGAGCAGTCAGAAGAGCAGAGTTACCAGTCTAGCCCATGCGGCCTTTGAGCCTAGGTCCCCCTTCCATGGCGTGCCCGGGCGGACTTGGCCTCACCTCCCCACGAGCGTTGCAGCGGACCAGACGTCCGGCGTCCAGTTGCAGGTAGCGGGCGGCTGGTGGCAGAGAGGTGGCCAGAAGCGGCGTGAGCTGCTCCAGGGGAAATACCTGCGCCGAATCCCGCCTCAAGGCGCTCGCCAGCTCCTCACGGGCCGCCAGGAAGGCCCGCTCCTCCTCTCCCGGCATCCCGAGACCGGAGACAGGCTCAGCTTCGCTGTCCACCAGGGACGGGCGCGGGCCGCGGGGCGCAGGGGCGCGCGGCGCCACAGCAGCCGAGGTCACTCAGGCCACCGCCCCGCTCAGCCGCGGGCAGCGGCCAGGGAACAGGAAGTACTGGCCAAGAGGGCGGGGCCGCGGGCCGCGTTAGAGGAAGGGGCGGGCCCAGGGTGACGGAAGGGGTGTAATCGGGAAGGGAGGCCAGGTTGCCGCCAATGAGGAAGCCGCGGCCCCGGCCCCTCCCACAGCGCGACGGAACCTTTTCCCCCTAGTCCAGCTCCCCGCCTGCCCTGAGGCTATCTCCGCCCCTTCCGGAGGGATCTCCCCTCCCCCGCGTGGGGTTAGTCTTGTTTTGCCCAAAGCTTTCCTATCTTTTATTTCCACAATGTTGCTCAGTTCCAGCCCCCACCGGGGAAGCCCCACCTTACCGGGGACCCAACTCTGGCCGCCCTTAGCCCGGCTCAGGCGAGTCCCGCCTTCCTCCAGTCTGTCCTGAAGGCAAGGCAGTCCCTCTCCCCTGCTCCCTTCCATCCTGCCAGGCTTCCCCTCTTCCGATCCTCCCTACCCTCTCCGATCCGACGCGGCCCCCTCCTTAAAGGTTAACCCCAGGGGGCCCCACCCCTGGGTACCCCCTTTCTTATTGTCCCACTCGGTCCTAGTCCAGCACTTCCCCTGGACGGCCCTTGGTATAAGCTCCGCCCTTCTCGAGAGGCCGCCGCTGTTCGGTCTCCGCTGTCCCACGCTCCCCTCGCCCCTCCCTTGGACATCCCCTAGGCTGGTGACTAAGCCAACACCGCCCTTCCCAGGGGCAACTGGTTGGGAATGGCTGAAGAAGGACTATTTACTGTGAGCGGCCTGCCAGGAGGAGGGGGAACAGAGGGAAGGGGGCGTGGCTGAGGGGGGTGGGTCTGGGCCTGGAGAGCGAAAGCGAAAGCTGGGGCGGCGAGCCCCGAGAGTCGAGAGCTAGCAACTGGGGGAAGCATGGCCAAGCCTTGTGGGGTTCGCCTGAGTGGAGAAGCCCGTAAACAGGTAAATGGGAACCGGAGGCCCGAAAGAGGTGAGGAGTCCCATCGGAGATAAAACTGGGTGTTCCTGAGCACCAAGGCCCCTCGTGAGAACACCCCCGATCTCTTTAGGGCATTCACTTCTGCTCAGGGATTACCACTGCCCTGTCCTCTAGCCAGTCTGTGCACTCAGCAGGGTCTTCCAGGGGAAACTGGCATTGTGGGACAGGCTTGAACCACACAGTTGGGGGGCACCCGGTTGTGAGGGGTGGGCTCTTATTCTTTACAGCCGAACCCCCTAACCCACGTCTGCTTACTGCTGTCTGCAGGTGGATGTCTTCAGACAAAATCTTTTCCAGGAGGTAAGTCTCCGGATCCAAGCGCTTTGACCCAGAATCCTAGCGCCATACTCTAAGGGCCACAACCCTTGAGTAACCCCCCAACTCACCCCAGTTTTGGTCTCTCCTAACCTTCATGCTTACCCAAGGTGATCTCTAATGATTGGTTTCTACTCGTAATCTGATCGCTCTTAGAACTCTCCCTGCTTTTGCCGCTTCCCCACCCTCCTTTGACCGAGGGGAAAGGTGGTGCCCAGAGTACCCACAGCCCTTCTGAGGAGGGGCGAGCCCCTTTCATTCCGCGTCTGCAGTTTCCTCATTTGTGAGTCTGGGACTCGGTAGTTTCTAAGGGCCTACTTCTCAAACATGTCATCGGACATCTTGTGTGATTGTTTTTGTAATGTTAACTCACAGGCTGATGACTTCCTCTCTACATTCTTGCCACGGAAAATCATATCCCTGAGTCAGCTCCTGCAGGTGAGTAGTAAGAAGACTCCTCTACCCCATCTCCTGGCATCTCTCCCACCACCTATCCTTAGATAGCTAGTGCTGGCAGCCTGGGAACTTAGGCGGGTACACAGCTTGAGCCTAGGTTGGGAGGGAGAGAGGAGATGGACCCCCAGAAAGGAATGGAGGGAAGGCTGTGGCTGATGAGGGGAGGAGACTGGGCAGTGCCTAAGAATAAATTCTGCAGGAGGATTCCCTCAATGTGGCTGACCTCTCCTCCCTCCGGGCTCCTCTGGACATCCCCATCCCAGATCCCCCACCCAAGGATGATGAGGTAAGGCATTCAGCGTGCAGAGGGTGTACTATAAGCCCGTGGAAATGACACCACTGTGGCCTCCATGAGTCTCCTAAAGCTGCTTTTCTGCTTTTGCCTTAGATGGAAACAGACAAGCAGGAGAAGAAAGAAGGTAATGGAGAACTGGGGGACTGGGAGGAACATGGGTGCACTGATGTGGAGTAACAAAGAAGCCCTCTTTTTCATCTGTCTCCATCTATTTCGTAGTCCCTAAGTGCGGCTTCCTCCCCGGGAATGAGAAGCTTCTGGCCCTGCTTGCTCTGGTTAAGCCAGAAGTCTGGACTCTCAAAGAGAAATGCATTCTGGTAAGCCTGGGAACTGGAGGAGGTGGGAAGAAAAGCAAGACAAAGCTATGGTCAATTCAGATCTTTCACCTAGAGACCTAGTTTTGAATAAGGAAACTTTGTTTTGTGTCTTGGATTTATATATATTTTTTAGCTGTGTGTGTGCACACACACAGGCATGTGTAGGTGTGTTTTCATACATATTTGAAGGCCAGAGGTCAACACTTGGAGGGTTGTACTGAACCTGGAGCTTGCTGTTTTAGCTATACTGGCTCACCAGGGAGCCTCCAGGACCTGCCTGTGTCACCATCACACACTGCTCCCCCAGCACTGGGCTTACACTGTACTCCACTGTGCCCCGCTTTTATGTGAATGCTAACGGTTGGAATACAGGTCCTCGTGTATTTGTGTGTGCACAGCATGCATTTTACCCACTCTCCTCCCCTTTGGGTTTAGATAGTCTTTGTTTTTCTCATTTGTTTGACATCTGTCTGGTATCACCATGGTAGCTCTAAAAATAAAAGACTGTGCTATAGCTACCTCTTTAATCTCAGAACTTATCATATTAGGTACACAGTATAGGTGATATGATAGAGTGAGTTGGTTTAAAAGCTTGAGCCCTAGAAAGAATCTAGATTCAAATCCTGATTCTGTCATTTACATAGGTCTCTTAGACATTCTGTGATTCACTTGTTTCCCGTGTCAAATGGTACAGTAAGACTAAAGGCTTTGAAAGATTGCCAATAATTAGATGAGATCAATAACTTATAGTATGGCACCTAACATGTAATAAGTGCTCAGTTAGACATAGCTATTATTAAGAAGTAGCATAATGGGGGGCAGAGGCAGAAGGAGCCTGTGAGGTCAAGACCAGCCTGGTCTATATATGGAGCTCCAAGACATCCAGGACTATATAGAGAAACTCTGTCTCAACAAACAAAAGAATCTTCCACCTTCCTTTGTAAGGGAGAGATGGCTCAGAGGTTAAGAGCACTGGCTGCTCTTCCAGAGGACCCCAGGTTTGATTTCCAGCAACCACATGGCAGCTCATAACGGTCTGTAACTCCAGTTCCAGGGGATCTGACACCCTTTTTTTTGGCCTATGTGGGTACCAGGAATGCACATGGTGCATAGATACACATGAAGCCAAAATACTCATACACATAAAAAAAATAAAATAATGAAAAAATAATTTTTTAAAATTGGCATAATAAGAATCCAGTAGGTTTGTTCAATGAGTGCTCCTTTTAACATAGATAATCACCTGGATCCAGCACCTGATCCCCAAGATTGAGGATGGTAATGATTTTGGGGTGGCAATTCAGGTAAGAGTTGGTGACTGAAGATAGTGGGAAGAGACTGGGGGGTGAGGGATGGAAGCAGGCATGGGACAGGAGGTAGGAGGGAGAGGAATGGTAAAGGGCGGAGTAAAATGTTCTCTTCACTTCTCGTGTCCCTATAGGAGAAGGTGCTGGAGAGAGTGAATGCTGTCAAGACCAAGGTAGAAGCCTTCCAGACAACCATTTCCAAGTGAGGGCAGCTACTTTTTTGCCCACTCTCCTCTCCTTTGGGTTTAGATAGTCTTTGTTTTTCTCATTTGTTTGACATCCGTCTGGTATCACAATGGTAGCTCTAAAAATAAAAGACTGTGCTATAGCTACCTCTGTAATCTCAGAACTTACATATTAGGGACCCTACAGGGACCCTACAGGGACGTTCCTGTAGGAGTCTCAGCCTAGGCAGTTCTGTCAGAATGGTGGGAGTCTGAGGGGTGGGGGGGTCTGTGAGCTTGTACATCTCCTTTAACGCACACGTTCCTTACTTACAGGTACTTCTCGGAACGTGGGGATGCTGTAGCCAAGGCCTCCAAGGAGACCCATGTAGTGAGTGCAGAGTCCACCAGCCGTTTAGCTGAGGCTGGTCAGGGGTGGGGAGAGAGATCCTCTTTGTTTCGTTTTTGACTTGCACCATGTGGAAAATACTATTCTGGAAAGCAAAACTGGTTAGAGCTCCAACATCCTTGAGCCTCTTCTTTACTTAATTCTGTGTTTGTTGGTGCTGTCGTGGGGCTTATCTTCCAGTTAATCTCTCTTCTCTGAGAAAACAAAATTACTGTCCTGACGTCCCCTGGTGCTGACTCCGTTTTCCTTCCTGCTCCCCAGATGGATTACCGGGCCTTGGTGCATGAGCGAGATGAAGCAGCCTATGGGGAGCTCAGGGCCATGGTGCTGGACCTGAGGGCCTTCTACGTGAGTGTGGGGGAGCTCCTGAGGGAAGTGGATGGAAGGGTGTGGGAAGCCAAGAGCCTAACTTTGTTCTTCTGGCCTTCCTCCAGGCTGAGCTTTATCATATCATCAGCAGCAACCTAGAGAAAATCGTCAACCCGAAGGGTGAAGAGAAGCCATCTATGTACTGAGCTAAGGACTAGAAGGAAAATAAATGACTTATACTTTATAGATTCCCTCTGTTGTTCACTCAGAGAATGTATTGAGAGCTCCCTCTGTCAGTACACCAAGGAAACTCGATATGGTAATGAAGAGGGGAGAGGGTTGGCTGGAGGGATGGCACTTAGCTGTTCTTCCAGAGGACCCAGGCTAGCTGCCCAGCACCCACAGAGTGGCTAATAACTGTCTGTAACTCCAGTTCCAAGGGATCTGACACCCTCCTTTGACCTCTGCGGGCACCAGATACACACATAATACATAGATAGACATGCAAGCAAACCACCCTTACCCATAAAAACAAAAAATTAAAAAGAAAATGGGAGAGAGTGCCAGGAAAGTGAGGTTGCAAGTGAGGCCCATTGTGTTCCTTCTAAAGAGCAGGGTAGAGCAGGGCATGGGTAGCACACCTTGGATCTCAGCACTCAGGAGGCAGAGGTAGGTAGACCTCTAAGTTCAGGGCCTCTCTGGTCTACATAGCAGGTTGAAAAGGAATAGGGTAGACGTTTGCATGCCTTGTCAGCCATGCAGGTAACCTGTAGTTTGGAATACCACAAAGGTATTTCCATCTGATTTCAGAGGGCTTCATGGTAAAAGGGTATTTGGGCAAAGCCTTTGGAGGAGGAATTTGGCTTTGGATGCATAGGGAAGCTTTGTGGCTATGGTGTGGGAATTAAGAACAGTTGTGGAGCTGGGAGCAAGGTTGGAGAGAGAATGAGGTTATTCTGAGATTTCTCAGTCCTGGCGGAGAGGAGAGGTCTTTTAAAAAGGCATTAAGGGAGAGCATATCACCACCGATGGGCATTATTGGGGGCGGGGAGTTGCCTTTTTTTTCTCGAGACAGGGTTTCTCTGTGTAGCTTTGCGCCTTTCCTGGAACTCGCTTTGAACTCACAGAGATCCGCCTGCCTCTGCCTCCCGAGTGCTGGGATCAAAAGCGTGCGCCACCACCGCCCGGCCTGGGGAGTTGCCTTTCTATCTCTTGCCCACTACCCCAATCAGTTTGTCTTTACATCTGTTGTGTTTTTCTTGTTACTGTTTTGTTTGTGTGTCTGTGTGTCTGAACGTATTCCGCATGTGTGCTGGAGCCCATGAAGGCCTGAAGAGGGTGCTGGATCCCCTGAAAGTCAGAATTCACAGGCAGTTGTGAGCCGCCTGCTGTGGGTGCTGGAAACAAGTTGAGTGTGACTGCTGAGTCATCTCTGCAGCCATTTTCCTGAGACCGTTTCTGTTTGGTTTTTAGACAAGCTGAGGCCTAGGCTGGCCTCAAACACACCATGTAGCTGATGCTAACTTTGAACTCTTCCTCCTGCCTCCACCCTCTGGGTGGTGGGATTGCAGTATAGGATTCACTTCTGAGGTGGTGGAGACATTGGTTCCTCTGCTGGGTGGCTTGTTATAGACGCCAAGGGACTTTTAAATTCAGGCTCTTGTCCTGTTTTAAAATATGTCAAAAGAATGTGCTGCGTTCTTATTAGTTTGACGGTTGGAATTCAGTGCTCATGTATTACTTATCTATCCTTAAAGGGTCATGGACTTGTACTCTGCCTTAAAGGTGCTGCACTATGTTAAGGAAGCCAAAGGCTGGCCAGAGTTCGAGGTTGGGAAGATGAGGCTGCTGGATTATCTATTGTGCAGACCCACTCGTTCTGTAGTTGGAGCAAGGCGAACGGTTTTGTCGCCAAGTTTCTCCGGAACACCCAGCTAGGAGCCAGCCCTCCACCTAGCTGTCTTTGCCCAAAGCCAGTAGGAACAGGCAGAGCAGGTAAACAGCCAACCTGCAGTAACCCGCCCAAGTTGGAACTAGATGTGGTGTCTCAGGGTCTGTTAACCTAGGGCTTTCACTTGAGAGATGGAGGCCAGCCTGGGCTAACTGAGACTTTGTGTGTCTTCCCTCTTTAAAACAAAACCCAAAGCATAAACCAGGTAGTTTAGCTAATAAGCCTGTGGGCAATTTTCTTTCCTTTGCCCTAACGCGTTCTTTCCAGTTCGCTGTAGGCCAAAGCAAGCCGAGACAAATTTTAAAATCTTTGATTGGACAAAATGAGAGCGTCTTGTCCTATCAGAGAGAACCACGGAGGCGGGACTCTTGGCTAGGGTCTGACTCGGCGCTGGCCGGCGAGCAAGTGCGCCTGCCCGGGAGTGGTTAGGGGAGGCGGGGCTCGGCTCCTCGGGCTGTGTTTGGACCGAATATTGGCTCGTGTTGGGGGTAGGCTGTGCCGAGAGGTCGCCTGGTGTTAGAGGCATCTTACACCTAAGTGAGGAGGTGCAGGACAAGGCCAAGCTCGCTGGCCGTGGTGGGGAAGCCACACTGGTTGGGGCTCTGCGTGCCCGCCGGCCCCGTTCGCTATGGGGGAGGTGGAGATTTCCGCCCGGGCCTACGGGAAGATGTGCCTGCACGCCTCTCGGTACCCATACGCTGCTGTCAACGGGTTGTTGCTGGCTCCCGCGCCGCGATCGGGAGAATGCCTCTGCCTCACCGACTGTGTGCCCCTCTTCCACAGCCACCTGGCCCTGTCCGTCATGCTGGAGGTTGCGCTCAACCAGGTGTGGCCTCGAGAACCCCGCCCCCATCCCTACTCACCGCCCCGCACAACCCGTTAGGACCCTCAGCCTAAATGCGTGCTCCACGCCTTGGCCGCAGTATGCACCCACAGAGGCAGAAGCATGATTTAGTTACTGATGGCCCCTTTCTCACGACAGGTGGATGTGTGGGGCGCACAGGCCGGTCTGGTGGTAGCTGGGTACTACCACGCCAATGCTGCTCTGGACGACCAGAGGTGAGTCGGGTAGCTAGGGCCGAGAAGGCAGATGATTGTGGCAGGTGTGGGTGAGGTGCAGCTGGATCAGCGTCATGCCTTTTATTTTTATTTTTTCATCAAGTACTTAGCAGCGGGGCTGTACACCGGGCGTTATACTGAGTACTGGAGTGAGGAGATACGAGAGATGAGTATGACAGGGTTGGAGGACTCTGCAGTGGGGGTGGGACAGACAGCTGTCTTTCTACATAACAGACTGATCTTGACTGAGGGGCTTCCAAGGTGCTGTAAGAACGGAGGAAGTGCGACCAGCAACTTAAAAAGCCCACCACTTTAAACCAGGCGGCGATGGCGCAAGCCTTTAATCCCAGCACGCTGGGGGGCCGAGGTAGGCAAATCTCAGTGAGTTCCAGGACAGCCTGGTCTACAGAGGGAGATCCAGGACAGCCAGGGATACACAGAAAACCCTGCCTCGAAAAACTATGATGATGATGATGATAAAATAACAAGAAGAAAAAAAGTCCACCACTTTATACATATACTACACACACCAAGTACATTTGATTTTGATATGGATTAAGTTAGATCTATTGTAATTTGCTTCCCCTCCCCGGACTTTTGATGTCTTTCCATCTCAAGATCTACCTCATCCTAACAGCTGAATAGTATGAGTGTGGACACATCATAATCTACTTAATACTATAAACAATGAAGTTATCTCCATATATATATAATATATATATATATTATATATATGTGTGTGTGTGTGTGTGTTGTTTTTCAAGACAGGGTTTCTCTGTGTAGCTCTCTGGCTGTCTTGGAACTCACTCATCATTATAAGTGAACACCAAACAATGTCACTTGGGTCTGTTTTGATCACTGGCCAGATGACTCAGGGAAAATCATGGTCATTAATCATTAATAAAATAATTTTAAAAACTCAAGGACAGTTTTATTAGAGCTGAAAAGACCCAGAGCAAGCAAACTACTTTCAAGTCATACCCTTTAAACCAGGGCTGGGACTAAAGGTGTATGCCACCCAGATCATACTTTATTCTTTTAATTTTATTAATTTATTTTATTTTAATGTGCATTGGTGGTTTACCTGCATGTATGTCTGTGTGAGGGTGCTGGATCTCCTGGAACTGGAGTTACAGACAGTTGTGAGTTGCCATGTGGGTGCTGGGGATTGAACCCAGTGCTCTTAACCTCTGAACCATCTCTCCAGCCCCATATTTTATTTTTTCTTTGTTTTTCGAGACAGAGTTTTCTCTTTGGAGCCTGTCCTGGAACTGGCCTCGAACTCAGAGCTCTGCCTGCCTCTGCCTCCTGAGTGCTAGGATTAAAAGCATGTGCTGCCACAGCCTGGCCCATATTTTATTCTTAATTCTTTCCCCTAGTACCCTACCCTGTTCCTCTTCCCTACTTTTGCTGGTCCCTGTCATCCCACCCAGTAAATTATTTTTGTGGTTTGCCCTTACTGTGTGTGTGTGTGATTTGTATACGACATGCATGCAGTGCCCCCAGAAGCCAGAAGAGGACGTTGGCTCCCCTGGGACTGGTTGAAAGCTGCCATGCAGGTGCTGAGATTCGAACCCAAGTCCTCTGGAAAAGTAGCTAGTACTCTTAACCATTGAGCCACTGCTCCAGCCCTCTTGTTTTTAATTTGGATGATTAAAGCAAATTACCTTCCCCAAAGCCTACTTTAGATTTCCACTCTCATCGGCCGAATCTGAGCACCTGTTTCCACAGCATTCAAGCATCAAGCAACCGTGCATCAAGCAGGCCCGGCACTCCCAGGCCAGTTTCAGGGAAAGGCTACAGCTGTGTGCGCATCTGGGAGACCTGGGAGGAGACCTGGGTCTGCCCTCAGTTGGCTCCTCACTCCTCTGATCTTCCCCCTACACAGCCCTGGGCTTCTGGCCTTGAAAATCGCCGGGCGAATTGCAGAATTCTTCCCTGATGCAGTGCTTATTATGGTGAGGCTTGGCTTTTGAGTGGGGAGGTGGCGAGGGAGTCGGGAGAGCATCCTGAGACTCTCACCCCTTTTCCACCCAGCTGGATAATAAGAAACTGGTGACTCGGCCTCGTGTACCTCCAGTGATTGTCCTGGAGAACCAAGGTCTTCGATGGGTGCCTAAGGACAAGAACTTGTGAGTGTCCCACTACCTCTACCTCTTCTTGGAATCCAAGACTCCTCAGGCCTCCTCTGTCCTTGGTCCTGCCCCGTGGCTTCTTTTCCGTCTGTGTGAGGCCCCACTGTTTGACCTCCATGTTTTGTTTTAAATTTCAGAGTGATGTGGAGAGACTGGGAAGAGTCCCGACAGATGGTAGGGGCACTGCTGGAGGGCCAGGCCCACCGTCACCTCGTGGACTTCGACTGCCATCTTGATGACATTCGGCAGGACTGGACCAACCAGCAGCTTAACACTCAAATCACCCAGTGGGGTGCTGCCACCAGTGGACATGCCTGAACCAGAGGGTCAGAGTACAATAAAGAGATGGGCTGGTGGGCGACCATGTATTTATTGTGTTTGGGAGGCAGAGTAGGGGAGAAACCCCAGCAGGAAGAAGATTGGGTCCAGTCTAGAGTTCCTGGTGAAGAGCACAAAGGTCTCTGTTGTGCCCATCAGAGAACGAGACAGGGGCCTCAATAGATCATTCCCTTTGTTTCTCCACGGGGCTTCTTGAGCTTCTCAAAGTTCTTCAGGATGATGTCATATAACACAGCCTATAGGATCATGGAGTCGTGGACGTCAGCCAGAGGCCCCCCCCAGTGGTTCTGTGTCCCATTTCTAGCTTTGGAAAGGCTGATTTTGTCATCCTCCACCCCAAGTCTGCTTGGTCAGAAATCGGATAGCCTGGGAAAGGCGCTTCTGTCCACCCCTGCCCTCCTCGCCCCTCCTCACATAAGCATTGCGGATCTCCATGACCATCAGCCGGATGTCCTGGTACTCTGCCTCGTCCAGCTCATGCACCAGCTGCCGATAATCACCCTGCAGAAACTCAGGGTTAGTCCTGACTTGAAATGTGTCTTCCCCAGCTCAGCCTGACCTGGGCCTCACCTACCACATGGGGCTGTTTGGCTGCTTTGGCTACGGCATCACCCCTCTCGGAGAAGTACCTGTGGGAAGTGGACGTAGTGTGTATGCAGCGGGAAAGGGAGGGAGCCCAGGCCTGTCCCCAAAGGCAGAGGGTGCTGTGGGTCTAGCGGCTAGGCAACTCACTTAGAGATTTGAGTGTGGAAGCCCTCCAGCTTGGTGTGAAGACTGGTCATCAGCTCAAACACCTTCTCCTGGGGAAGAACGTGGTGGGTTAGAAGGAAGCATGGACTACACAGGAGGGTTGTGGATTGAGCGGGCGGTGCTCTTACCTGGACAGCCACTCCAAAATTATTCCCATCCTCTATCCGAGGTATCTGTAGTTGCAACCAGGTAGTGACCTTGGAGCAAAGGAAGGTATCGAGGTTTTTATCACCACACCGTTCCCCTCCACGTACACACCCCTAAGTCCCAGGTTCCTATTCTTCCCTTGTCTGCCCAGTGGATGGAGGAATGCCAGGTCCATGTTGAGCCCAAGGCTGGCTCACTTGCTCTACCCTCTCCTATGTGCCATTGTCCTAATTGGCAAGAGTCAAGAGGACAAAGCCGGAGGCGGGGATGAAAGCAGAACTCACCAGATTGAGTTGCTCAATGACATCCTTGATCTCAGGCTTTAGGCGCCGCAGGAGGTCCACAATTTTCTCATTGCAGTTCACTGGGCCACAGGGAGGACCTAGAGAGTGTGTGATGGGTCAGTTAATGACTGAGCTCGGGAGGGCTGGAAAGGGGCGTGTGGAGTGCAACGTGGAAGTTCTGAGACACAAGCCTGTCTCTTTCCGGGTCTCCAATACCTTTGTCTTCATCTTCTTTCTTCTTTTCATCCTTCTCTTCCTTCTGAGGGGGGAGGACAGGACTGAGGCCGGGTCTCTCTAGGGCTGGCCCACCTCCCAGGTCTCCCAACTTGCCTCCTGCTGCTTCTTCCGCTCCTCCTTCTCTTTCTCCTTGACTGGATCGGGGACTGGGATGTCCAATGGAGCCTTCAGGTTGCTCAGGTTGGCTTCATTGAGAGCCGGCTCCTAGTGGTAGGGCTGGAGATGAAGGTGTTCCTCTTATCACACCCCCATCCCCAGGCTCCTCTGGAGTCCTTGCAGGGTCCCCGTACCTTTAAGAATGCATCCAGCTCTGAGATCTTCTTGGGAAAATAGCTCCCAAGCAGGTTTTCTGTCTGTGTGAGGTGGTGGAAGAGGAGGATGGGGTCATAACCAAATGTCCTTTCCTAGGCAGTGAAGTAAGGGCTCACACTGCCCAGCCAGGGAGGGCTGAGCAGCAGCAGTTGGGTGGAGGTGGGGCTGCCGATGAGGTAGGTCTTACCTTGCTACATAGGTCTTCACGAAACACATCCACCTGTAGGGTACAGGCAACCCTTCAGAAACCTAGCTTTAAGGCCAGTTCATTTGAGAACAATTCCCTTTGGGAGGTGTAGGGCCTGACCTGGGGAATAGAGGAGTGGATCCCCCCTAAGGCCACACCTGAAGAAATCGAGATGGGTCCCTGTATAGGATGGCCTGAGGTGGTGTGGTAGTTTTCTGCACAGCTGAATCTGGGGAGAGTTCAGTGGATCCCCAAGGGGCTCACTGGATTTGGGGAGGAGAACATTCCTGGGGTCACCAGGGTTGTATATGGAGAAATAAGAATGCCCTCTGGCCGGGCGTGGTATCGCATGAATACCTTTAATCCCAGCACTCGCGAGCTAAAGTCAGCTGGGTCTCTGAATTCGAGCCCAGCCGGATCTACATAGCGAGTTCCAGGACAGCCAGGGCTACATAATAGAGAGACCCTGTCTCAAACAGAACAAAACCCTCAGCCAGTGGGCAGAGGCAGGGTGCAGGCATGTGCCCTTCCTGAGTCACTGATCTCGAGGTGGACGGGGCAAGTCCCTCTCCCCGTCCCTGTGTGTAGTCCGGGCCCCAAGCCAGCAGACTTCACACTAGCTCTCGGCTTCATTTCACCCCGCTGGACCACAGCCGCCTCACCTACTCCCAGGGGATCAGGTGCTTCTGGCAGCAGGCTCGGGAGCAGACCCCCGACTCAGATGCGGGGCCGGGGGCCGATCCCGGGAGCCTGGGTCCGCTCCGAGCCACGCCTCTCTAACGCCTCTCCTCCCTACACGAACCCGCAGCGCTCACCTTGGCTTGGGCTTCAGGATGGACCCTCAGTGTGGCCATGGTCGGAGCGGGGGGCTGAGCGCCGCACGAGGAGCCTGGAGTGGGCAGCGGGAAGGGAAAGTGAAAGCAGAGCTCGAAACCTGCACGGCCTTCCTTGATTTGGGGAGTGGAGGGACTGGAGGAGGCGGGGACAGCCTACGGAGAGGCGGGGGCTCCTCCTGCAGCCGGAGTAGCGTTTCCGCCCAGCTCCCATGTCTCTCCCCTCTGCGCCCAGGCCCGCCTGCCAGCGCCCGCACCTCTGCCCCTTCCCGCCCCCACCTTCCATTTCCGGCCGCCCCCTACTTCTGCCAGGGCCAGGGCAATCATAAGCCTTACTTGAGGGTTTTTAAATCTTTTCTGATTTGGGGCAAGACCTGGTCTCTCCTCGCCTTGCCGGCGTGGTCCCCTGACTTCACCGGCAGACTCCAGCCCACCCAAGGACAATGCTGAGACGCTGGCACTGTCCTTAGCCAAGCTCCGCACAAAGCCATTGGGGCACACTCTATTGCCCTATGAACCATTCCCCCACAGCAGGGATTCAGGCCTCTGTTGTAAAATCCAACCTTGCTTTCAAAAATCACCTGTCCCCTTCAAGCTGACGGTCTATTGGTTTCCACACTCATTCATTACACAAGCAAATACTTGTAGGTAGTGTTTATTCCGCCTTCAAGAACTCGGCCCTTGGGAAGTGTACAACACCCTTCCCTCAGTGTCCTCACTCTGTTCTCAGTTCAGATGTCAGTCTTTCAGAGAGAATTTCCCACCATCATCCTTCAGAAAGCACCTTCCCCGCCCAGGACAAGTCACCCTGTTTCGGTACCTCCACGGCGGCACCTGTGACTCTGACATCAGCCATTTTTGTTTGTTTTGTTTTTGAGACAGGATAATATAGTGGTTTAAGCAGGGGCCTGGCGAACTTTTTCTGTATGGGGTTAGTAGGTTTGGGAAGTGTTACCATGTCTGTAGCAACTCAACCGCTACTTCGAGAGGAAAGCAGGCCACGAAATGAATTAGTGTGGGCGAGTTTCATTAAAACTTAACTATGGACTGGAGATTTTGAGTTTCAGGTCATTTTCACACGTCACTTTTACTTTTTTTCAACTTTTTTATTTATTTATTTATTTTTAATGTTGAACAAAAAGTCAAGCTTGGAACCTGGAGGTGGTGGCGCACGCCTTTAATCCCAGCATTCTGGAGGCAGAGGCAGGTGGATCTCTGAGTTAGAGGCCAGCCTGGTTTACAGAGTGAGTTCCAGGAGAGCCAGGGCTACACAGAGAAACCCTGTCTTGAAAAACAAAAACAAAAATTGTGGGAGATGGGGAGGTGGCTCGGTGGTTAAGAGAGAACTGGCCGCTCGTCCAGAGTACTTCTGATCAATTCTTAGCACCCACATGACAGCTCACAACTGCTTGTAACTCCAGTTCCGAAGGATCCAATGGCTTCCACGGGCTTCCACAGGTCCTGTACACACCTGGTGTACAGACATACATACAGTAAAAACACCCATAAACATAAAAAAAAAGAAAGTTTTCACAACTGAATATTATCTCACTGGGATGTTGTGGGGATTAAAATTGTGTGTGTATGTACATGAGAGCGCATGCACACTCATGAGTTCGTGGAAGCCAAAGGTAAACAGTGTCTTCCTCACTCTCCCCCCATACCTTATTTATTACAAAAGGTCTCATACTAAACTGGAGCTCACCGATAGGCTTGACTAGCTGGCTAGCAAGCTCCAGGATTTTCTTGCTTCCACCCCTCTGCTGCACTGGGATAACAGGCGCATGCTGCCATGCCCAGCTTATTAGCCGGGCTCTGGATATTCAAACACTGGTCCTTACACCTGCACAAGCGCCTTACCCACTGAACCATCCCCCTGGTCTCTCAATGTATTTATATATATATATATATATATATATATATATATATATATATATATATATAATGTACACACTCTTAGAATAGTGCCTGACACGAGCAAGCATTTGCTATTTGTGTGTTTCTCTCTTGCTTCCTCCAGAGCTCATCTGCTTCCAAGCAACAGAAGCCGTGTTTGTCTTGTTCATACAGCACAGAACTATGCTTGGCTCAACACACCTTTGTGAAATGAATGAGTGTGGTGTTCTCATGAGATAGAGATAGGAAAGGTCCTGGCATGAAGCATCTGCCGATGCTTATGTACACACCTAAGGGCAATCACCAGCTTCCACAGTACCATTCCTTGACATCGCAGCTCCAGAAAGCTAGAAGTCTGTAGACCAAGAAACCCAGAGGATGGAAGTCGAGTCCAGGAAAACACATTCGAAGTCAATGACTTCAGGAAATGATGAGGAAGGAACTCAAGCATCTACCAGACTATCACCCTTCCCACCCTCTCTAGGCCCGAAAAGAATAAGAGCCAGAGCCAGGCCTGGTATACTTTTATTTCTTTCAGTTATGTTTGCGGACTGAGCGGGATCGGGGGAAGAGCCCGTGGCCTGGGATCCCAGGAGACCAGGGCTGGTGGTACCAGCTGCCGTAGGTAAGGTACCAGGCAAACGTGCCTACTGCAGCACCCACCACCTTGTGGGTGTACTGATGGAAATAGATGACTGTGCAGAGCAACAAGAAGTTCCAGAGGCCTAGCAACAGCACATTCAGTAGGAAAACGAGGCGCAGGGGGGCCCCAGCTGGTAGCCCGTGGGCCAGGTACTTGGCAAAGACAGCCGCTTCCTCAGCCATGAGGAGGCAGCAGAAGGTGAGTAGGAAGGTGTGGGAGGAGACAGTGTAGCCTCGCCACTGGTGGCCGGCTGCCAGGCAACTCCGGCGGTCCGGCAGCTCATGCAGCAGTAGGCCCTGGGGCAGAGGTTCGAAGCAGGAACCAGTCAGGTCCTCGATGAGCAGGAAGGCTCGTCCAGCCCCCCGCCAGACAGCTGCCCCCACCACCAGTCGGCTCAGGTGCCTGGCGGTCACTGCCACACGTCTTGTCGCCAGGAACACCACCAGCAACACAAAGCCTCCCAGGAAGGTACATGTCCAGCCCCACGCTGAATTCACAAACTTTCTGTGGGCAGAAAGAGGGAAAGCTGGTTGAGACCCCCGGCCCAGTCCCACCTCCCTACCCTGCTCTGTGTTCCACACACTATCGTTAGTCTCCTCAACCCCTACCATGTCAACATTGTCTGTCTCCTTAGAGGGCCACCGGACATTCTAGGGTCCACATTCCCTCTTTAGTCCTTTACTTCCCCTGCACCCCCAGGCTCTGTTCCCACCCCCTCCCACTTTTCTCCCCCTGACCTTCTCAACCTCCTAGCCTATTTTTAGTGTTCCTACTGGCATCAGAACACAGAGGCCTGGAGAAGGAAGCTGGGATCCCAGAGTGGAGGGAGGCAGCTCCCACGGACTCCCGTGACTCACATGTTGAAGAAGTTGCCGTGGCTGGCGAAGATCGTCCGGGAGTTAACATGAAACTGCAGAAGGGGCCCAAAGATGACCACCACTGCCAGCCAAGCATGGTAGAGGCGCCGTAAGCAGGGGCTGCCTAGGAGGCGGGCGGCTTGTTCACTTCCGAAGTATAGTAAAGCAGAGGCCACCCAGAGCAGCACCTTGACCAGGCATCCCAGCAGTGCTCGGACTCGGGTCCCGGCCCCCAGCCCTGCCCCCACCACCGGCCCCCGCTCCATGTTCCCTCCCCTCCCCACTAACTGCCTGCTCTGCTAGGAGGCTGAGGAGGGGCTAATACCCGCCCCCCCCCCTCGGACAAGGATAGGCAGTGACAGGTGTGGTAGACACAGGGCAGAGCCCTGTTGGCAGCTGGCAGGCGGGGCGGGGGGGGGGGGTAATGGGCTAGTTTGAGGGCTGACAGTCAGCATGGTCCTGGCCTTGGGTGTGTGGAAGTGTGTCCCCACACAGCCTGTGTCCTTTCCACCTTTGTGTTCTCAGTTCCAGCCACATTCCAGTTCGTGTCTCAGGGCAAGGCCTGCTGTTCAGAGCTGTCCTTGTCCACGGTCAGCTTGTGGCTGTGTGTCTTATTTTGGCCAGCTGAAGCCCATCTACCCTCATCTCAGCACTACCATGTTTTCCTCCACAGGAAAATCTAGGCCATAAAACCAACCAAACCTCAGATGCCTGTGTTAGTCGGGGTTTTCTAGAGGAGCAGAGCAGGTAGAATCAATCTGAATGAAAAGGGAGTTTATTAGAGTGCTTACGGGCTGTGTCTAATTCCAACACTACCTATCTCCCCACGGAAAGGCTCACAGGCAGGTAGTTATTCAGTCCAGGAGGCTGGATGGCCCAGCTGGTCTTTGGTTTACATCAGAGTCCCCAAGAAGTAGGTTCTAATACCAGTGAAGGAATGCCTCAGCATCAGGATAGAGGACTTGCCGGGAGAGTGGGGGTAAGCAGGCAAAAAAAGCTTCCTTCTTCCATGGCCTTCTACTTGGGCTGACACCAAAAGGTGTAGCCCAGGTTTACGGTGGTTCTTCTAACCTCCAATGATCCAGATTTAGGGTGGGTCTTCTTGCCTCAAATTAGCCAATCAAGAAAAATCCGTCACAGGAATTAAACTGCTTCGGTTTAATTCCAGATGATGTCAAGTGGACAACCAAGACTAGCCATCACAACGCATTAAAACAAACCAGCAGAGTTTACCTTCTCACCAAATGCGGGTCCTTCTCCTGGGCTCTGGCAGCAGTGAGTTGTGTACGCAGCATGGTGTCATGGGCAGGTTGTGGAAGTGGATTCACTGGGGTAGTCACTGTAGCTATGGTGACCCCAGCAGCTTAGCTAGGCTCCTGCTGCCATGCAGATGCGGCTCTCTGGAAGGCCAGTTTGTCCCAGGGTGACTGTGCACACTGATGGTGGCAGAAAGAACGCACAGGGCATCACCTCATGGGTTACCGCTTGTGTTCATGATGATCAGAATCAGCAGGTGAAAGTCAAGTGCCTTGAGAAAGGCAACCTGTATAGGATGATGGCGGCCATGGTTGGGTGCTCAGAGTCCAGGTATTCCCAGGTGATGGGTAAAGATCCTAAGAAAAACATGCCCAATCTGTCATCCATCAAACTTTAAGTCTGGCCCGGTGGTGGTGGTGCAAGCCTTTAATCCCAGCACTCAGAAGGCAGAGGCAAGTGGAGTTCGAGACCAGCCTGGTCTACAGAGTGAGTTCTAGGACAGCCAGGGTTACACAGAGAAACCCTGTCTCAAAACAACAACCAACCAACCAAACAACTC